TAATAGATGGCTAATTGAGACAAGTCTAGACTTCCGCTTTCCTATATGAAAATTTTGGACTTGAAAATGCATTTTATTCTCTATTGTTCTAATGCTTTATGTTATGATATGCTAAGTGCCTTACATGGGGCCTTTCGAGGTTCCATGTGCCTTGGTACGTCTAGGGGGTACCCTTGGGTCGTGACACACCTCTAGCCTCATCAATAACTTAGTCAATTAGCATTAGATTCATTTTAGGTGAGCAATCCTTTCAACCTAGAATCATTCAAGGTGAGAAAACCTTTCACATACATAACATAAGCAATTCATGTGAGAACTATCCCTTCCACAACAATTACATCAATAGTGAACAATTGACAACATAAGCTTTACACTCAAAGCACTATATCTCATAGTCATTATATATGCTAAATCACAAGTATATCAATATCATAATTATATCATTAGCTTCAATCTCAAAGAAATCCTAATCATGATTCATCATATAGGATTCAATTCTAATGTATCTCATCAATCCTAGATAGAATACATCTAAACCCACAAATTCTCCTTTCATAGCACAAAACCCATTTACATCAATTTCATCTTTATAGACATGGGTTAGGCATGGTACATGTAAATTCATACTAAAAACATGTAATCCTATCAATTCAATCATAAACAATCATAATCCACTCAATTTGATCAACATTCATCAATACCCACAATTTTGGAAGAAAATCCTAACTCAAATTGGAAAATTTCATCTTCTCAATTGGGGATTCGTAGGGACTCCATGGATGGATGGAATTCATGGATGAAAAGCCATCATACCTTGATTAAAAAGCCCAAAAATTCTGGAGGAATGGAGACTTGACCTTGATCCTAGCTCCAACTCTTTCTTCTTCTTCTTCAAGTTCTAGAGAGAGAAATATTTGAGAGCGGAACTTGGGATTTCTTTTGGAGGGTTCGGAATCAATTACTTGAATGGGTGAGTTTTGGGGTTAAAATGACTTATATAGGTGTCCTAGTCTTAGGAAAAACGAGCTATCTTTAATCTAATTAGATCTGGAAAGACCCATTTAAACCTCTACTTAACAGTGCACTGTCGATCTCCACGAGGGGCCCCACGAGCCATGGTCATAAAAATGCACACAACCAAGGAGGAACATCATCTTCAAGCTAAACATACTCCATGAATCTTAAGGGAATGTAGGAAATACATCTAGCAACCCAATATGCATGAAAAATCAACATTTACTTTTGTTCAAGCAGGAACTACATTCTCCAACATTTACTCATGCTCAACACAATCTCATGGAGCTCATATGCAATTTGTTCTTCAAAAGCATAGTTAAAGAATGTTCATCATTTCATCTCATGAAATTTATAGGCAACTCATAATCAATGCACTACAACATGAGGAAAATCAATCATATAAACTCATTTTCTGTCAAAATAAAAGTTTTCCTGAACATGCATAACATAGGGAAATCATGGAAACATCTAAAACACACATGACATCAAACAAGGAGCAAGCCATGAGGAAACTCTTTACCTCAAGCTAGAGTAGAAGGAAAAAGATGAGGATATCGGGACTTCATATCGGCCTCGGCCTACCAAGTAGCACCCTTAACTAAATGATTCCTCCATATTACTTTCACAGACGAAACTTCCTTGTTTCTCAACTCCTTAACTTGCCCGTCTAAGATCTCACTGATACCTCTTCATAAGAGAGACTTTCATCAAACCCCAAGCCATCTAGGGGAACTATGGATGTCAGATCTCCGACACACTTCTTAAGCATAGAGACATGGAAAACCGGATACACCATTGCTAAATCATTCGAAAAACCAAGTACATAAGAAACCTTACCGACACGTCTCAAAATTTAATACGGGCCTATGTATCGGGGACTAAGTTTCCCTTTCTTCCCAAATCTCATCACACCCTTCATGGGTGAAATTTTTAAGTAGACCCAATCACTAACCTTAAACTGAAGGTCTCTTCTTCTAACATCGGCATAAGACTTTTGTCGACTTTGGGTTGTTCTCAACCTCTCCCTAATAAGCCAGACCTTCTCCATAGACTCATGAACTAATTCGGGTCCTATCAAGGCAACTTCACCCACCTTAAACCACACTATAGGATGTCTACACCTCCTACCATAGAGAGCTTCAAAGGGAACCATACCAATACTAGAATGGTAGCTATTATTATAAGCGAACTCTATCAATGGCAAGTGATCATCCAAATTTCCCTTGAAATCGATGACACATGCTCTCAACATATCCTCTAAATTTTGGATAGTTCGCTCCGCTTGCCAATCGGTTTGTGGGTGAAAAGTCGTGCTAAGCTTCATTTTATTGCCAAGACCCTTTTGGAATGACTTCCAAAACTGAGAAGTAAATGACGTACCTCTATTTAAGATAATAGACAAGCGCACACCATGCAACCTTACCATTTCCCTCAAATATGATTTAGCATAGTCTTCCGCCGTATAAGAAACTTTGACGGGAATGAAATGGGCCAATTTAGTCATTCATTCTACTATAACCCAAAGCGAATCATATTGTCACCGAGTACGTGGAAACCCTACTATAAAGTCCATATTCAAGTCTTCCCACTTCTAAGTAGGAATGCTAATGTCTTGGGATAAACCTCCCAATTTTTGGTGCTCAACTTTCCCTTGTTGGAAATTTGAACACTTACCCACGAATCCCGCAATATCCTTCTTCATCCCATTCCACCAATAGATCTCATGCAAGTCACGGTACATCTTTGTGGCTCCCGGGTGAATGGAATACCGAGAACTATGGGCTTCTGTCAACATCTGTTCCCTTAAATCATCAACATTAGGAACACATAACGACCTTGATATCTAAGTACACCATTTCCCCCTTGGGAGAATGCCTCAACAAACTTCTTAAGTACCGCTTCTTTCAATTCTACTAATGTCGGATCAAGACACTGCTTAGCTTTCAAATCACTCACAAAAGACGATTTAGAACCATTATGAACAATAACACCACCCTTGGTGGAATCCACTAATTGAACACCCAAATGGGCCAATAGATGTACTTTATGTACCAATTCTTTCTTATCGCCATCAATGTGAGCATCATTACCCATAGGCAACCTATTAAGAGCATCTGCTACTACATTCACCTTTTCGGGGTGATACAGAACACTCATATCATAATCTTTCAATAACTCAAGCCACCTTCTTTGGCGAAGATTCAAATCTTTCTGATTAAACATATATTACAAGCTTTCTAGTCGGTGAACACATCTACATGAACACCATACAAATAGTGCCTCCATATCTTTAAGGAAAAAACCACAGTCGCTAATTTAAGATCATGGGTCGGATAGTAGTTCTCATGGACCTTAAGTTGTCTTGAAGCATAGGCAATAACCTCTCTATTTTGAATAAGCACACATCCCAGCCCAATTCTCGAGGAATCACAATATACCACAAAACCATTTGTCTCTTCCGATAAAGTCAAAACCGGAGCGGAAGTAAGTCTATCTTTCAACTTTTGTAAACTTTTCTCACATAATTCAGACCATACAAACTTAGCCTTATTTTGAGTCAAAGTCTTTAATGGAGAGAAAATATAAGAAAACCCCTCGACAAACAATTGGTAATAACCGACCAAAGCCAAGAAATTTCTAATGTCCGAGGGTTATAGAGTTTTAGGCCAACTCTTGACCACATCCGTCTTCTTAGGATATACCTCAATAACCTTCAATACCCTTACTTTAAACAATATGACCAAGGAAAGCTACAGACCTTAGCCAAAACTCACACTTGCTAAACTATGCAAAGAGTTGTTGTTCCTTAAGGATTTGCGACACAATACTCAAATGATCAATATGCTCATTCACACTCCTTGAGTAGATCAAAATATCATTAATGAACACAATCACAAACATGTCAAGGTAATATCTAAACACCCTATTCATCCAATTCATAAATGTCGCCGGAGCATTAGTCAATCCAAACGACATCACCAAAAACACATAATGACTATACCGGGACCTAAAAGCCTTCTTCAGAATTTCATCCTCTTTCACCCTCAATTGGTGATAACCCGATCTAAGGTAGATCATAGAGAAGTAACTTGCACCTTGGAGTTGGTCAAACAAATGATCTATCCTTGGAAGCGGATACTTATTCTTAATGGTCACCTTGTTCAACTGACGATAGTCAATACACATTCGGAGCACCCCATTGAGAGATACTCAACCGGATGAAACCCTTATTCAACAAGTCCTTCAATTGATCTTTCAACTCCTTAAGTTCAACCGGAGCCATTCAATAAGGAGGAATAGAAATAGGTTGTATATCTAGGATAAGATCAATACCAATATTTATTTCTCTTTCGGGAGGAATATCGGGTAAATAATCTGGGAACACTTTTGGATACTCATTAACAATAAGGACCGACTCAAGACTAGGGGTTGCAGAATATAAATCACTCACCCTAACTAAACGGTACAAGCAACCCTTAGAAATCATCTTTCTAGCTTTAAGATAGGAAATGAACCAACATTTTGTCATAGAATTTTCCCCTATTGTAATAGATGGCTAATTGAGACAAGTCTAGACATCCTTTTTCCTTTATAAATATTTTTGGACTTAAATGTGTTTTTACTCTTATTTTTCTAATGCTTTATGTTATGATATGATAAGTGGCTTACATGGTGCCTTTCGGAGTTCTATGTGCCTTGTTACGTCTAGGGGGTACCCTTGGGTCGTGGCAAACTTGGTAATCATAGCACAAGATTTAGAATGATTCTAAGATGATGCCTCATAAGCCACGTCTAGTAGAGTCTTGTTCATAAGTGTGCAGTGCACCACATTTATGAATGAGAGACTATAAGATGTTTAGGAAACTACACATCTTTCATTACTCTTAAGTCGTGCATTAGAGTTTAACTTTATAAAAGACCCTCTTCTAATCATTCTCTTGTGTCTTCATGATATGAATACACGAAGGGATTAAGCTAGAAGAATGGAGGGCGGCAATGTCAATGAGGAACCTCTTCAAGGTAATCAAGCTCCTCCCCATGCTCCTTAAGCTTCGATTGATCCTTCCGCTATGTTAAATAAGGAGGTTAGGTCAACTTTTCAAATGTTGGCCCAATCTTTGGCGGTTCAAGCCAATACGGATGTGGTAACTACGGTCAATCCTAATGTGAATTCGGATGCTTCAAGGGTTAGGGATTTTTCTAGAATGAACCCTCCCAAATTTCATGGCTCTAAAGTGGAAGAGGATCCCCAAAGATTTATCGATGAGGTTCATAAAGTGCTTGAAATTATGGAAGGGTCTCCACAAGAGAAGGGTGCGGAGTTAGCTGTATACCAATTGAAAGATGTGCCTCAAGTTTGATATGCTCAATGGAAGAGAAATAGGCCGGTATGAGCGGATACCATAGAGTGGGATGTTTTTAAATCGGCATTCCTTGATAGATTCTTTCCCCGAGAGTTGAGGGAATCAAAGGTGGAAGAATTTATTAACCTTAGGCAAGGTAGCATGAGTGTCAAGGAGTACGCCTTAAAATTTACCCAACTATCCAAGTATGCTCCATCTATGCTAGAGGATCTGAGGGATGCGATGAGTAGATTTTTGACGGGTGTGTCCGACTTGGTTGAAGAAGAATGACGTACGGCAATGCTTCATCATGACATGGATATCTCAAGGTTCATGGTATATGCTCAAAAAATTTAGGAGTCAAAACTCAAGAAAGGAAAAGAGAGGTAAAAAGGGCTAGAATCGGTAATGGGAACTTCTCCAATGCTAGGTCCGATGGACAAGGTCGGCCAAGGTTCAAACAAAGGTTCTCCAACCAAGGTTCCTCTAGTGCTCAAAAGTTCAACAAGGATAGGGTTTGCAACCCTAAACCTCAAGGAGGTAATAGTGGTGGCTCTTATGTTTTTAGGCCTAATTGTGCAAAATGTGGTAAAAAGCATGATGACAAGTGTCTTGTTGGTACCGATGGGTGTTTTAGTTGTGGGAAGGTTGGCCACAAAATGAGAGATTGTCCAATGCCCAAAGTTAAGGTAAGGGAAGATAAACAAGCTCCTCCAAGCGTTTCCAACTCCAATGCTCGAAAGCAAAACTGCTTTTATGTTCTTCAATCCCGAGGCGACCAAGAGAGCTCCCCTAATGTTGTGACCAGTATGTTAAAAGTCTTTTCTATTGATGTATAGGCCATGTTGGATCCTGGTGCCACTTTGTCCTTTGATACACCTTTTTGTGGCCATGAAGTTTGAAATACTCCCTGAAGTGTTAGTAGAACCCCTTTCGGTCTCTACCCAGTTGGTGACTCGGTGGTGGCTAAAAGAGTCTATAGAAGTTGTCCCATTTCCTTGTCCCATAGAGTTACTTTGGTGGATTTACTAGAGTTATACATGTTAGAGTTTTATGTGATTTTAGGTATGGATTGGTTGCATGCATGTAATGTTTCTATAGATTGTAGGACTCGGGTGGTTAAATTCCAGTTTCCGAATAAACCTATTTTAGAGTGGAAGGGGGGAAATTATATCCCTAGAGGTCAATTTGTTTCTTGCCTTAAAGGTAGGAAAATGATCTCCAAAGGGTGCATTTACCATCTTGTTAGGGTGATGGATGTTGAGTCTGAAACCCCTTCTCTAGAGTTAGTTCCTGTAGTAAATGAGTTTCCAGAACCTTTTCCCGATGATTTTCCTGGTATTCCTCGTGAGCAGGAAATATATATTTGTATTGACCTTTTACCGTATACGCAACCTATCTCCACTCCTCCTTATTGAATGGCTCCGACTGAGTATCTCTCCTTGAGGTGCTCCGGTATTGTTTGTTAGGAAGAAGGACGGGTCTCTTTAAATGTGCATCGACTATTGTCAATTGAACAAAGTGACCATTAAGAATAAATATCCCCTTCCAAGAATCGATGACTTATTTGACCAACTTCAAGGGGCAAGCTATTTCTCCAAAATTGACCTTTATTTGGGTTATCACCAATTAAGGGTGAGAGGGGTTAATATTCCCAAGAAACCCTTTAGGACCCGGAATGGTCACTATGAATTTGTGATTATGTCATTTGGGTTGACAAATGCCCCGGCTGCATTTATGGATTTGATGAATAGAGTGTTTAGGCAATACCTAGACATGTTTGTGATTTTGTTTATCGATGATATCTTGATCTATTCAAGGACAGAGAATGAACATGTAGACCATTTGAGAATTGTGTTGCAAGTTCTTAAGGACCAAGAACTTTTTGCAAAGTTTAGCAAGTGTGAATTTTGGTTAAGGTCTGTAGCTTTCCTTGGTCACATTGCGTCAAGCAAGGGTATTGAGGTAGATACTATGAAGACGGATGCGGTCAAGAGTTGGCCTAGACCTCTAACTCCTTCCAACATTAGAAGCTTTTTAGGTTTGGCCGGCTACTATAGGAGGCTTGTTGAGGGTTTTCCTCCCTTGCTTCTTCGTTGACGACTTTGACTCAAAAGAAAGCCAGTCTCCAGAACATCAGATTTCAGGGTGAAAAGTCAAACTATTGTTATATATGGGTTATTTAGATACTTAAATTGTATAGTTAGGTTTTTATCCCTAGATTAGATAACAATAAGAGTTCATTTAGAACTCTTTGGCCGCGATAAAATTAATGAGCTTCTTTTTTTAAAAAAAAGTCTATTACTTTCAAATTCAAATACTTTCAATTTTTATTTTAAAGCTTTTATTGTAATATTTATTTATCTCAAATTATAATTACCAAGTGGCAAAGGAAAAAGAACAAAACCCAACAATTTTTAGTAGAAAAAGATGAACAAAATACAACATTAAAATAACATAACAAAAAAATATTTTCTTATTTATGCAGTATTTTCATGATAGTGAATAATGTCAACCAAGAGAATCTTGCATATTCTTAATCATTTTTTGCACTGATGATTTGGTGAAGGAGCTTTGCATATTTTGTTTCTCCATTACATTTGTTCATTATTAAAATACTTATTTTGAGATAAGCAAACTCTTATGAAAATGATTAAAAATAAGAAATAGAAGAAGCAAAGAAAAAACTCGCGTCTTACATATGTATCACTAAAGATTATTAAGAGGTTTAAAACTTAATTTTTATGCCAATTACATTTCCGTTTAATTCAAAATTGAATAAGATATCAATTGTTGAAAAAGACAAGATTTTATGATATTATTATCCTATATTACTCAAAAAATTAGCCTGTAATTCGATCATCACTCATCTGCATATAAAAAATAAAAAAATTAAATCAAATTTGTTTTTAGAAAATGAAAAATATGAAGAATTCAGTAAATAAAAGGTTCACAAATAATAGTAGTAATAGTATTAGTATTTTATATCTTTATTTTAATTTAATATTTAAATTAAATGTGTTTAAATTTATTTTACAATACCTAAAAATAATAAGTTTATGAATTGTAAAGTTCAATTAGAACTCTTCTATAGGTAGCTATTTTTTGTGGGAAATTATTAGATTTTTTCCTTTTTTGTCTCTCTTTTTACAAAAGAAAATATATATTTTTTCCTTTACCCACATGTTAGTTTAATTATAATTAAAATTTATCTTAATGTAAATAAGAAATCCGACAACCTCCCACCGAAAAGAGTTTTAAACGTGTTTATTAAATTTGATTTTTGTGTAAAAATTTAATGTAAATGGAAAATAAATTTCCCATAAAAAGAAATAGTTGTGAAAAATTGGTTTAAATATATATGATATAAAAATCTGATAATTTTTCAAATAAATTTAAAACAAATTGTTGATAAGGTTGGAAGGATATATAAAATAAGACTCTTTTAAAGAAATATTACCGGTGATAAATTATTATTATTATCATTATTATTTATTTATTTTTATTATTATTATTATTATTATTAATAGTAATAATCTATTATTATTTTCACTTGGCTAAATCACATTGCAAACTATTCTCCTTTATTATATATATAGATTTGCAAACAAATGAGATGTAAACAGTAATTTAAAATATAATATTTTACAATTAATATCGACCATTTGAAAATAGTTTATTTTAAGCGTTAGATATAAAAAAAATAGTAATTAGAACATGACTTTGGCGGAAAATAAAAGTAAGATTGTGCATAGACAAACAAACACCAATATATTTGCATAGAAGTCTTTATGCAGTTTCCTTCTTGTTATCATTAATTGAACATATAGAAGACATGTCACGCCATTTTTTAAAATTAAATATACATGAAGATAAATTGTGTCATCCCAACTTTACTTAACAATTGAATAAGGCTATAAATTGTAATGCACGCATTAGGTTCTGAAAACTTACATTAAAAAATAATGAGGATTAACGTATTTTAAATGACTTTGTCACATAACTATTTCCTGAAAATTAAAATTAAAGAAAGTGGACAAGTTATAAGTTAACCATCTTAAAAACTTTGAATTTTATCTTTTAATTAGTTCATATTTTTTTATAAATAAATAAACACTAAAAATCCACGTATGGGAAGGCCCCACATAAAAATATGACCACTCACATCACTTCTATGATTAATTAAATAAAAAGTATTTCCTCGTACCAAACATGAACATGTACCAGATGTTATTCGATCTGTTATTATTATTTTAAACAAAATAAAATTATTACTTTAATTTTTCAATTTGCTTGTCAGTTAGTTGAAAAATAGTAATATGAATTTGATCTCCAATTCAAATAAAAATAATTTTTATATTTTTATATTGAAAATATTAATTGTTTTGTGTAATTTATGTACTATGATATTTATAAATTCACAATCAAATATGACTTGATATGTTCCACAAATTCACCCCAAAAAGTAGTTGAGATATTTTTATTCCTACATAAAATGTATATGGTTAAGAATATTAATAAAAATAATGAGTTGTTGTAGCATGTATTTATTAAATTGTGACATGCGTATTCATAGTCCTGTATGTCAACATTCATGAACGTTCAGACACTATCTTGTTAGATACACTATACATCACCATAACTCACAACTTCCTCAAAAAATATCAACAAAACAGTGACAACATAAATAAGTACAAAATACATAATAATTTAAGAAAGAATAAGGAACAAAATTTATTAAATTGTGACACGCGTATTCATAGTCCTGTATGTAAACATTCATGAACGTTCAGACACTATCATCTTGTTAGATACACTATACATCACCATAACTCACAACTTCATCAAAAAATATCAAAAAAACAGTGACAACATAAATAAGTACAAAATACATAATAATTGAACAAAGAATAAGGAACAAAATAATAGAAAAAAATATAAATTATGTAATAAAACAAAATTTTAAACTGAAAAAATAAAAAAATGTGTTAGTTACCAAAAAGTTATATGTTGTTAAATTCTTGTAAATTTGTAAGCTGTGTATAATAAGCTTTAAATTTGAAAATAGACATGCTAACTTTTGGATCCTCTTATCTTCTCAAAATCAGTCTTTTGTTTGAACAACAACTTAAACTTGTGGTCTTTGATCTTTGATCTTTGATTTCATAGTATTTGGACAAACCACTAAATTCCTAATGACGTACAATCCCATTTCCTTCATTTGTTCTCTTAAACTTGAGAAAAAGATCAGCCAATGCTCGCATGAATGCGATCGCCTTATAGATTCAATCAAATAACTAATTAGCACTTAAATTGTGTATAGAGCATTACAGAAAAATGAAACAATATATATAAAACAAATTAAAATTAAGTGTAAGTATTATTAAAAACATATTTTCATCCATCAGAATAACTTCAATAGAAAAAGGACAAATAGATCGATCGCGATCCGTATTTCCCCAAAGTCTGATAATACGAACTTTTAATTTCCAGCACCTTGACTTGTTAATTTCGCTAATGAAATAAAAATAGCCGCCATTATTAATTCCTTTGTTAAAAACAAAAGATGTATGAAATAAAATAAAAACCCTGAACCCTAAGAAGTATAAAGAAGAAGAAAAGAAGAAGTGAATTCCCTATTCTCTTATATAATAACAGCCTACACAGGAACTTTGGGTCATCCTTCTTGCCGACTTGAATAAGAGGCTAAAAATTGATCGGCTTTGGGGTATTAGGGGCAATTTTGGTATTTCAGATAATTATTTCATTTACTTTATTTTCTTCAGATTTGTGTTGTCTTTCTAACCGTGACGCATGCTACTCCTTTCTAACCCAGTAAGCTGCTCCAAGATTTCATAGCTATCTCAAAGTTCCGGTGCATTTTCTCAGCTCTTCTTCGATC